ACGCGCCCTAGATGCAACGTTGCCATATTTATATATTTTCGCTCATATAAAGACAATAAATAAACGGTTTTGCTCACGTCAGCCAATAATAATTTAAAATGCTATAAATTATTTTTTATTTATGCAATCAACATATTAAATTGTTATTGTTGCCCAGCAAGAACCTCGAGGTCTGAGCATGCCTTGCCAAAAATCAGTTTTTATTAGCATCATAATTTTAATATTTTAACAACATTTGCTGTAAGCCCGAAGGGGAAGGTTTTCAAACAATTCTACTAAAAATTGAAACTAACGCGGCCCATTCAAATGTTCAGGTAGAAAATGCGGCCCAATTAAACGATCGCCATTGACATTGACACCGAATCTCCTCTGAAAGCTAAACCGATGAGTAGTGTGCGGGTTTTCATCTGACCAAATGTGACCATTATGGCTGCAAAGAAATTAGCTGTTTCACTTTAAATAAAATTTAATATTGAAGTTACAAAACCCCAAAATCATAACCATTTCAATTTCGTTACAGAAATAATGTCATAAAAAATCAACACTCACTAGATAAATTATAAAGAGAGGATGAAATGTATGTAGTATTTAAATATTGACTGTAAGTAATAGAAGAGAGACTTGTATATTCCATTAAAAAACAATGGGACGGAGACAAATAAACAACTCGCTACGTGTTTCCGACCTAGGGTAACCTGTGGTTCAGTAACCTTTTAACCCACTTTTAATTTGCACACGTGCACCATATAGTCCAGGAGCCAGATGTGCCACGGCTGCAAACAACTTATTCTTAAATATTTGACCTCTTGAATCCAAAAAACTTGGTCGCAAAGCCTGAAAGTGGTCAGTTTAATTGTTATCAACAAATTAAATGTTTAAATATCTGTAAAAAGTTTATTTTTATAGCTATACTCGACGGCCAAAATTATAGATAGTGATTCATCGCTAGCTCTTGGACTAGTAAGGGGACGAAAATCCATTGGCGTGTCTGCGTAAAAGTCAACAAGATATATAAAATATTGAATAAAACATAACATCTAATATTTTTTACGGTTTGCTATAACCGGCACTTTGATCACTTTTAATTATTACAGCATTTTAAAACGTCACAGCTGTGTTTTTTTAATTTATAAATTTATTATAGCCATGGAATTAGACCCCTCGTCTACGCTTATGCTATGACGTTTCTCAGGTCGGGCAAATCAAGTCCGTTTACACCCACTAAAAAAGCATTTCCCTATTCCCTACCAAGTGCAAAAGACAGAGATAAAATATAGATCGACGTTCAGTGTAACTCTATACACGATTATAGATTCTACCGATGTGCATGGCGAGCGGCACAAAGATAAATAATAT